GACACGTAGGGGAGGTTGTGCGGCGGCGTTGCGGACTGGGCGAAGTTGTGATTTGCGGGCTTCGCGTTTCGCTTTGGCGGCGGCGATTCGGTTGGCTTCGTAGATAGCAGCGCCCGTCTTCACTGTTCTCCTCCATGTCGGACGATCGCGGGCGAGATCTGCCCAGTTGGTCGGGTTGATTTGCAGGCGCTTCAGAGAGGACTTCAGAGTATCCTTGTATTGGCGAATTTGGCCTCCTTGACGACGAGAACCCGTCGCGACATCTCCGTAGAAGAGACGTTTGGGTAGTCGCTCGTCGTCCATGCGCACCAGGTGGCCGCTCCAGCGCAGCTGCATTTGTTTCAGTATGGCGTAGATGCTGGGGATTCCCGTTCGTTCCAGTACGTCCGTTTCGGGGATTCGATCCTGCCAGTTCAGCCTCAGGATGCGACGGAGACAACTGAGGTGGAAGTGGTTTAGTCGGCGTGCCTGTCTCGTGTACACCGTCCATGTCTCTGCTCCGTACAGTAACGTCGGCAGGATGACGGCCTTGTACATCTTCAGCTTTGTGCTCAGTTGGAGACCGTGGCGATTCCAGACTGTGCTTCGGAGGCGTCCGAAGGCTTGACTGGCTTTCGAGATCCTGTTGGCGACTTTGTCATCAATCTTGGTGCTGCGGGAGAGGGTACTGCCCAGATACGGGAAGTTCTCCACCACTTGCAGTTGATTTCCGTTCACGCTGATTTGCGGCGGCGCGTTGGGGCCTGTGGCTGAGTTGGGCGGTGGTTGGTGCATCACCACCGTCTTCTGCGTGTTGATAACCAGCCCAAAGTTCTCGCAGGCGGCGGAGAATAGGTCCATGCTCCGTTGCATCTCCTCTTCCGAGGTGGTGTTCAGGGCGCAGTCGTCGGCGAAGAGGAGTTCGTGCACGGTGGCTGTGGATACACGCGATTGGAAGTTCATGCGCCGTTTATTCAGGAGATGACCGTCCGTTCTGTAGGCGATGCGGATTCCAGGGCGTTTGTCGCGGTAGGCGTCCATCAGCATGGCAGAGAACATAAGACTGAAGAGGGCAGGCGCCAGCACACAGCCCTGCTTCACTCCGTTGGTCACTGCGAATGCCTCTGAGACAGCTCCATTGTCCGTGACTCGCGCCATCATACCGTCGTGCAGCTGACGCACCATCTGAGTGAATCGCTCCGGACAGCCGAATTTCTGCATGATCTTCCACAGTCCTTCACGATTCACCGTGTCGAAGGCTTTCGTCAGGTCCACGAAGGTAGAGTACAGGTGGGTCCACATCTCCTGGCACTTCTCCTGAAGTTGGCGGGCTGCAAAGATCATATCCGTGGTCCCACGATGACGACGGAAGCCGCATTGGCTTTCCGGCAGAAGGCCCTGTTCTAGATGGTTGTTGAGGCGGTTGATCAGGATGCGAGCGAAGATCTTCCCAGCGATGTTCAGTAGGGAGATGCCGCGGTGGTTGTCGCAGACTTGGCGATTCCCTTTTAGCTTGTATAGGTGCACGATAGTTGCGTCCTTGAAATCTTGCGGGACTTCACCTTGACGCCACATCTCTCGGAAGAGCGCAGTCAGGTGATCCATCAGTAGGGGACCTCCGTGCGTGTAGACCTCAGCAGGGATTGCGTCCGATCCGAGTGCTTTCCCGCTGGAGAGCTGCTGCACGGCCCTGATCGCTTCCTGGAGAGATGGCAGGAGGTCGAGGTCCACGTTGGTCTCCACTTGCGGCAAGCGGGCGATGGCGGCGTCGGAGATGACGGAAGGGCGGCTGAGGACGCCTCGGAAGTGCTCGGCCCATCGCTGTAGGATTTGCGTCTTCTCAGTCAGGAGAGTGTTGCCGTCGGCGCTGAGGAGAGGAGCAGTGCCCTTCGTCGGCGGACCGTAGACAGCTTTGATCGCGGAGAAGAAGTTCTTCCATTCGTTGCGGTCCGCGTAGCCTTGGATCTCCTCAGCTTTGCGAGCATTCCAGGCGTCCTGCATGTACAAATAGGGAGTTCAAAGACGTAAGCCTATTTCCCTCAAATACACTGACTGACTGACTGACTGATCTCGCGCAGTCGTTGCTGAAGCTGTCGGCGACTGCGGTAGAAGGCAGCTTTGTTGTCCTCAGTGGGGTGATCTACGTAGGCTTTGTGTAGGCGGTTCTTCTCAGCAAGCAGATTTCTGATGGCGGCGTCGTTGTCGTCGAACCAGTCCTGGTGTTGGCGGGGAGCGCGACCGAGGACGGCGACCGCCGTCGACTGGACCGTGCCTCGCAGTAGACACCAGCGGTTCTCCACGGAGGCGTTCTCGGCAGCGGCGGCGGCGTCGTCGGCGGCGGCAGCGATAGGAAGGTTGTCTAGCCGTTGAGCTAGCTCATTGCTGAAATGGAGACTGTGAGCAGGCAAAGACAACAAAGTAACATTCAGCTTACCTGGGGGTCGCTTACCTTGCGGTCTCCTGCGAGGCTGTAGGCGAATACGCATCTTCGAGATGACGAGGCGATGGTCGGTCCACCCTTCAGCACCCGCGATCGTCTTCGTCACCAGCACGTCCCGCTGATCTCGCCTCCGGACGAGGACATAGTCCAGCAGGTGCCACTGACGCGACCGAGGATGCCTCCAGGTGGCTTTCTCTCGCTCCGGCAGACAAAAGAACGTGTTCGTCAGGATGAGGCGGTGTTCTGCGCAGGTGCGGAGGAGAAGCAGGCCGTTGTCGTTGGAGCCGTGGAGACCGTGGGGACCCAGCACTCCTCTCCAGGCAGTATGGTCTGTGCCGACGCGGGCATTGAAGTCACCAAGGACAATCAACTTGTCCGCCTTCGACACAGTCGCCAAGAGGGCGTGCAGGTCCTCGTAGAATTTGTCTCTTGCGGCGGCGGCGGCAGGGCTGCTCATCGGCGGAGCGTAGGCGCTGATGATGGTGGCGAATTTGCCTCCTCGCCGGAGAGGCAGGCGGAGGCTCATCAGGCGATCGTTGATTCCCTGCGGTAGACAGGGCAGTCGTCCCACGATGTCAGTCCGGATGGCGAAGGCGACACCCGCGTCTCGTCGCTCTGTCCTGGGTCGACCACTCCAGAAGAAGGTGTAACCGGCACCCACCTCCTCCAGTTGGCCTTGTTCGGAGAATCGGGTCTCGCTGAGTGCGGCGATGTCCACCTTGTAGCGCGCCATTTCTCGTGCCACTAGCGCCGTCCTCCGTTCCGGTCGGTTGCTCCTCGGATTGTCTAAAAGGGAACGAACATTCCAGGCTGCCAGAGTGAGCGGGCTCACCCTGCCAGTCTGGCGACTGCGGCGGCGAAAAGTAGGAGTAGGAGAAGAAGAATAATAGGCTGGAAGAGGAAGAGAGTGATTGTTGTTGTTGTTGTTTCGGTTTTGGCTGTTTCGACCGTGTGTTTTTTGTCTGCGGCCACGGCCAGCCTACAGACAGCGTGGTTCCCAGCGATCTTTAGGGCACCTTTTCTAGCCCCCTCCCCCTCGCGGGGGCAGGCAACGCATCCCTGAACAGGGCTGCCCGGTTATCCCAGACGGCTGCCGGACTCCACTATGGGCCACGACTTTTTGTTAGTGAGAGAACGACCCGAATTAGCCTGGGACCTTGGCGGTGAGGTGATGTGATGGAGTGAGTAGGAGAGAGCATACACACTACCTAACGCTATGGGACTTAGAACTAGAGTGGACAAGCGGACACAGTCACCGGTCAGAGACAAAGTGAGGGCACCACACAAAGTCAAGCACCGTAACACCTAGCTATTAATAGAGAGTGGCATAGACTGACGGACAGACAATCGCAGCAGGCATCGAGGGTGTCGGTTAGCTATTGACAGACAGACTAGCATATAAAGGGCAGGCAGCAAGCGCAGCGTACGACGCGGAACTTCAACAAACAAAAGGAAGAAACAAAGCAAGCGCACTTACCTGAGGGGGAACTTACCTGGTGGCCTCCTGCGATGGTCCAGGCAGAGCCTCGTCTCGACGTTGTCGACGCGAAGATCCATCCGGCCAGCGCAGACCACAGTACCGCGCGTGCAGTTGCACGCACGGATACCCTCACCTGGTTTAGCCCGCCGGTCGAGACGGTTGCCCGGGGTGTGGCCGCTGAGCAGAGCCCAGCTACGGGGAGCCACCGGTGAGAGGTAGGTGCCAGCAAATGGACGCTAGGCGTAGTCTCACCTGCAAGCAAGTGAGCGGCCACTACGACCATCACGTGGACCCACCGCTGACACCCCTACACCACACACACACACACACACACACACACACACACACACACACACACACACACGCACACCACGAGCACACAATCGGCATTTTTCACGGAAGTGGGAATCTTTCTCTTTGGCTCACTCTCCAAGTGGCACCTCTGCCACTACAACAAATGTACAGCCCTAGAAGTCTGCGGGGTGTGGGGGCCAGGTCGTGTGCGAGGTACGCGCAGACGAGCCGTCTAGTTCTGTTAGCCACTGCCTCCTCTCTCAGCCCCAGTTGACAGACCAGCTCGGACTATCGACCGATGTACAGAGGAGGGAAGGGAGAGTGGAGTCGGTACTTTGTGCATTCGACCTGCTATAAACAACTTGATGGACGAGAACTTACAATGATGCATCAAAAGACCCTCCCTGGAAGGTTTCCAACCGAAGATTCAACCCAGAACTCGCAGTCAGCCCGGGGTGTTTTTGTGTTGAGTAGCAGTAGTCGGGCTGTGATGGGCCCTCCTTAGTGTGGTCTCTACGGCACTCTCACCCATGTGATGTCTGAGCTGCCCATCCCCTGTGTAAAATCCTGGCCGTTTTTAGATCTGCCATCTACTGCGTCCAATACCGTGTCAGTTACCTGGCCATTGCGCCTCAGCTGCTTCCTCTTCAGCAGCAGATTTTACTTGTTAGCGGAAGCAAGTAGTCGGTCATTTTGTTGGCAGTCGTCCCTTGATTGACACAATACTGTTGTGGTTGGAGTTAGGAGTTAGGGTTAGGGGTTAGAGCGACTGTTTCTCAACCACTCCAAGTACAGTCACGCATTCCCAATAGCTTTATTGTTGCATACCACTACTTGACCTCGTCGCCTGTGCGTTCCCCGGCCCCACCCCTATTACCACCGGCCTCGAATTACAGGTGGATGGGTGGGGCTACATAACCACATCTGACTAGAATTTCGCTATAATCAGGGTTCATCACCTAATTTTTGCTAGCATTTTCTACAGGTCCGGTGTGTAGACCGGCTGAACCTTCGAAAAGTCTAAGGTCTGAACTCATAATGATCTGTTTTTTTAACTAATGCACTTTCAGAGCGACATGTTCGCTACTGGTCGAACACGCATCCATTTTTAGTTTGCATAATTCTGAAATTTTTTGAAGATTATCCTGCCCTGTTTGTGCAGACCCGTCTTACGAAGGTAATTTACTGTAGCATGCGACGTTTTTCCAGGTCTATTGTAATATTTTTTAATGCCCAGATACCTTTACCTTAGTAAAATTTAAGAGATTCAATCGCTTTTAAGGAAGCTTTTTAGGCAGAACGTTTAAAATCCTCCAGGAACAATGGAAAGCTCAGATTATTTTGAGAAGAAGAAGAAGAACGACATTCTCGAACATTCGATTTGAAACAAGATTCATGAAGTAAGCATGTGACCCGCTCTTTAAGAAAATCTGCGAACCTCATAAATAACCGAAAAAATAATGAACAAACAATATTCCTGTTAAAGGACGATTTATTTCCCTGCCAGGCTGTCAGAAAAGATTTCAAAAATTAACTGAATACAGATATGCACCGCTTAATGTGTCGGTGGGCAGTACCGCACTTTCATCAACTTGTTGTGAATTTTCCGACATGGAGACACAGTACTTTTCGTGTATATGCTATCATTAAGATCATGTTCATTTAAGATTATCTTTTCTTTTGTCTGGCACCGTGCTACTCGCAGTACGACGTTTCGATTGCTACATTTCCATGCTCTGTCTGGGCATGCAAAGTCATTTTTCTTATCCATGCAATGCCCAGTTTGTAGCAAGCATCCTAAACCTTGTTAACGTGAACGAATGTCATACTTGCATGGGTTCTCCGTCTGCAAGACCGGTGTCTGCACGTACAACCAACATGAACTTAAGGTGCAGCCCGGGTATTCCAGCTGCCTACCCGAAATTGCTTCTATTTCACATATCGTGCTGAGGGTCTTGTTATCAACCGGAATCCTGCAAATGTGAATTATATGTCATATTGTATCGGTTCTCTGCCTGTAAGGCCAGTGTCTGCCCATCCAGCGCCAAAGGAAAAATGCAGCCCGTGGATAGCCACATTCCCAAGGACGTAAGCAGTGGCTGGATACGGTGAAGACTGCTTGGACTTAGCCGCCTTCTTTTCGAGTCTGTTATCCGAACTTTCAATAAAGAACCTAACAGACGCGTTTTAGCGGTGGAGGATGCGAACGGTAAGTTCAAGTATGCTGGCGCCCTGCAGTCTGCGTAATACACATGGGAGAACGCATTTGGCATCGCACATTTAATCCTCAACCCGTCTGAATCTGTGGGTTAGTGGACCACTAAAGCCGACTTCTGACGGTACCACTTTGAATGCAGCACAGGATTTACACAATGGTGGACGTCGGGGTGGAGTCCAATAATGCGCGGCATTTAGTCAAAAAAGCTTTTAACCTACAAAGCGGGATGTATAGTTGCATCAGCGCATGTAAGTAAGCCATTAGGTTTTGAACATACCTGACGCCATGTTGAACGCAGTTTGCTTTGAAGGTTAGTTTTGTAGTGATGTTGGCCGTGAGTAGTCCCCTGCTGTGCTCGTTTAGCTGAGAGGATATTTGAGCAGCCCGTATTCTTACGTCTTCGTTTTTCTTTTGACCATCTTACTCGATGCATCCCGCTGGCAGACCTCCTCGAGCACTGGATAGCCTTCTGCCTGCCTTGCCTTGCGTAGGACACTGTAAATTATTGATTTAACCATAATTCCTACCCGTATCACACTAGACGCCCATGACCTTGACGTCTACCAATTGCAATGTAGAGGTTTCTGGTTGGAAATTTCAGCTGAGTGAATTGCGTCTGTAGCCGGACTAAACTTGCGGTTTCTTGATTTATTGCCTTTTTTTCAGGATATTTCGCTCGCAGCTGTTAGGGGACTCGAGTCGCCGAGAGCGAAGCAGCCATCAAAAGGAACCTGATGATGAGGCGGCAAATTTCCGGGGGGAGCTCCATGTCCCGACAGTAATTGAAAATGTTGAGAAATGAGTTCTTGCGTAGAAACAGGGCCTGAGGATTCGGGAAGTTTGCAAAGTCTCGGGACGAGAGAAGTCATCAGTACTTTGATGCGCTGTAATGTTGCAAAAATGAGAATGGTCGCTTTTGGATGCTGCCGACTGAAAATAATAAAACGACACCACAGGTCCTAATAATAGTACAGTATGTGGCGTATCTCATGGAAGGTGCTGAAATTTTCGGAGGATCGCTACTCATTCGCAAATTGGCACAAAATAATAAGCCAGACATTTGAAATAATAGTGAACGGCATCATAAGAATTCAAAGCATAAAGGAGCATCAAAATTAATATTAAGTCGTTTATAAAAATCTTTTTTAAAATGCGAAAGATTCAGTAAACTTCGGTGGTCGCTGTAACTGAGTAAAATCAATTGTTCGTTGTAAAGAAAGCCAACTAATGCAAACAAACTGGACAAAAAGGCCGTACAAGAATAACTGCATTCGAAAATGGCTTTTAGCAAAGCATATGCCTAAATATCCTTTAAATGCCATGTTGAGTATGGCGATTATCTAACAGCCTAAATTTAGAGTATAGATTAAAACACGGTTTCGTGAGAATAGGTCGCAGGTTTTTTCATCGTTCGAGACTCGGTTGACTGATTCAAACAGGAGTTCGCTTGATTTCGCCGATAGGAACGTCAAGGGAGTAGAAATATTCATAATGTCACACACTGATAGGCCAGCCAGTGATCAATGAATTTGAATAGGATTTTCAGATGCAATCATAACCATATCATTTTGATGTTTATAAAGAGAAAATTCATTTCGTCAAATTTCTTATTAATTGTTTCTGGTGCTGGAGCACAGTCACTTTCAGATCGTCCTTGGAAAAGAAGTGAATACTTCACGACCTGCAGTGTTTACAGTCGATTGCGAGTAAAGTTAAATCCTGTGCTACGTGTCTATCGAAACCCTGAAATTATGATATTCCCTGAAAGCATTTACCGAAGTAGTGAGTTCTCGAGCATGATCAAGTCAAGAAGACCAGGGATGGGAGGGAGCGCAAGTGGCTGGCGCGGCCGAAGCCACTCCTTGAAGTGCCGCCATACCCGGCTTGGCTGCCACGGACTAGTAGTACCATAGAGAATAAAACAGTGCTCTAAAATAGTCCATTAGTGCAGTTTGCCTTTAAATATCCCTTTTGAATATGTGTCATGTCAAGTATGGCAGGTAGCCACTTGTGAAGAAGGAGGCACGACCGTCTGGAGTTTCAGATTCATGCTTGAGTCCACCGCGTAATTCGCGGACGGATATCTGCGCAATCTGTCTTTTTACAAGACTAGGTCAACGTAGAAATTTGGACACTTAATTGGTTTTTGCATCTCCATTAACATTAATGACAGTTTTTTTGCTGCAGATGGAAGAACTCGCGTTTCTCTTCATATCATAGCCTTTCTCGCTGTATTTATTCACTTTTAGGCTCCATCCAAAGATTGTAAATACCCCACATAGTGACATATAAATACTAAGATATTTCGAAAAATGCTAATATTCTGCCCGCTTTGTTTCTAAATTACGCATTGGCAGAAGCTAAAACGTATATAAATTACTATCCCGTATGCTTTCAAATTAATAAAGGTGCCTATTTAGGGCATTCGCGGCAAATTATTCAGCATCAGCGAAAGACAGGGAAATATCAGAACGTTTAAACAAAGAATTGTCAGTCAGCGTTATTGCTGCGTTTTAGGGCAAGAAATCACACCGATTTGGAAGTCTGGCCTTTGAAAATAAATCA